GGAAGGAAGGAAGGAAGGAAGGAAGGAAGGAAGGAAGGAAAAAATAGCTTCTGAGTCCCAGGAGGTCATTAAGGTCAACAAGCCAGGTTTAATTAGAGTTCTGGAAGGGGGAGCTTGAGAAAATGGCAGCCAGGCACTTGCCAGATGTGGTGGAAAACACGATGCCTCGAGAGGTATTTTTAAACTAGACTCACATTCTTCAGGTCTACAGGATTTCTTGTATTATTTTTAACCTTCCTCTTTGTGTTCATTTTTCCATTTTCTCTTTTAAATGATGGCATCCTGGACTGTCCAGCTCTCTCCCGTTTCCTATGTTGCTTGCCAAGACAATTTCTTGGATATTGTCCAGGCCTTACTGAATTTGTAAATGTCATCTGTTAGGTTTTAAACTTCAAGACTGTCCTTTGTTCTTCAGCTGCTTTTTACAAGCAGTGCCGTTAGGGACACACTCAGGCACACCCTACCTTCTTAGAGGTGTAAGTCACAATTTCTTTGGTGCTTTCTTCCCCTCCTGTGACACCTGTTTCATCCAGGTTCCCCTGCTTCATGCTGTAGGCGTGCCACGTGGGCTGCTGGTCGTTCACTTATTGGTTTTATTCTAAGTCACTTTAGAGATATAAATTTCTTAAGGCACATGCCCATTTTAAGTGTACAGCTCAATGGGTTCCTGTATCAATATAGCCACTCCAGTGCTGAGATGGGGACACTTCCCTCACCATCTCTTAAGGCAAAGGGAACCTGAGCCCAAACTTCTTCCCTCCTTTTCCTTCATCTTCCTTCTGCCAGGTATACCCCACCCAGTGACACTGCCCCCCCCAAAAAAAAAAGACAAGTAACTCTGTAACAGATGTGAGAGCACAGCCAGCCACACAATGCCTGCACAGAGCTCACTTAGCCTGCTCTGTGTGCATACGCAGCACCACACCGCCTTCCAAACACTCCATTCTTAACATGGACATTTGCCTCCATAAAAAGACTGGCACCCATGTGTCGACTGCAACTTTATTCATGATGGTCCCCCCTGAACACAGCTCCCATCTCCATCATAGGCAGCTCAGTCATGCTGGAGTAGTTGGTTATGAGAAGCAGCCCCTGAGACGCTGCAGCTCCTCAGAAGCAGCAGTGGCGGTGATGGTAGGCTCTCCGAGACAGACTAGCAGTAACAATCAAGAGAGAAGTACCTACCTAAGCTGAATTCTAAAATGGGCTCATCTGGGTCTTGGATATTTCCTGGTAGAAGAGAAATGACAGAAAAAATCATCCAAAATAAATCTTCCACAGAATTTAGATTGTATTTTTGTACAAAACATAGAAACAAGAAATACTAGTTCCCATTGGCCACCCAAAAATATTACATTAGATGGTTTATAAACTTTGAAACAATTTAGAGATTCTGAAAAAAGAACCTCAAACCTCTTTCCATTCTGCCTACTGGAAGGCAAGGCCAGGATGCCCACCAGAGCTAGAAAAAACAAGATCTTCAGTTTCACCAGACTAGTTCCCAGTTCCAGGAGCACTAGCTAGCTATCCTGGAGTCCTATTTCAACCAGAACGGTCCACGCCAGAACACCCTCTCTCAAAGGCGTGGTTGTCCTCCCTGACCCTTCTAACCCTGTTACAGCACAGAGCCTGCATGCTTTATGTTTATGACCAGATGACTAGTGTAGGTGTGACAGGCTCACCTGCCAGAGAGAGGCCCACCATGTCGGCCGCCACATCAATGGTAGAAGCCCGCTGCATCGCACGGGCCCTGGCACCATGGCGAGGGCTGTGCTCTCTTGCTGTCATGATGTCATTGGTGAGGGTATGCTTCTTGTTCCTGGGTCGCACCTCACCTGATTCCCCAAAGCAGAGCCGTTTCTGGGCCCTGGATTTCTACGATGGCAGTAGCCCTGCGACATGGGAGCAAATGCTGGTAAGAGTCTAGAGGGTGATGATGGAGAGACCGTGCCTATGGGAAGAGAGCAGGACCTGATTCTGGCAAGATGTTGAGAGCAGTGTCTCGTGACAGGGGTGGAATCAGGCTAGGATGTCTGAGACCTCCTCCCGTTTTCCGCCTCCCTGCATTTTGCATGATGAACCCGAGGATGCTCTTCTACCAAAACGGGCTGCAATGTAGTCATAGAGTAATGTGTTTACGAGTTTCTTACTTCTCTCTAGCATTCTTCTACTGGCAAATCTCACAGAATCTTCAACCTATCAACTCCCACAGCACAGCCTCTGCTAGAAGAACAGAGGCTATGTGAAGATCGCTGCTGTCCAGAACAATGGACAAAGCTTGAAGCTTCAGCTTGACTTTCCCTCCCTTCAGCTACCAAGTTCTGCTGTTTCCGTCTGAAGCCTTCTCTACAGTATCAAGTAACAATCTACCCTTAACTACAGGAGAACCTGCTGGGAATGGAAGAGGCTACAACAGAATGTCCTGCAGCTGAGTTTGAATGACGCTGGCCCAGCTCAGCACAGAGCTCCCACTGTGCTTTAGGTTAAACAGAAACAAGAGACTTTCAGGTTTGTCTAACCTCATGTACCATAAGCCCTACTTGTCTTAGAAGGGACCAGCCTTCACAAGTTAGGAGAGCTAACAGAGCCATTAGCCTTGTAAAGAGAACCCTCTCAAAAGTGTCCTCAGACCCAAGCACACCATCTCCTGCCCACAAGACCTGGGCTACTGCTCAAGTCAGTTTGACAAGTAGCTTACCGTACATGTTTGCCTTTGGACCATGTGGCACTGCTTCATAGAAGGACATCCAGCTCCATCATCTAGAAACAGAAAAGTATAACTTGATGAACGCACCAAATATCAAGTTCCCCAGAGCATGACACCCAGATGGTAGAAGTCAACAGTTATTCCCTCTAACTTCTCACTCAAAAGAATGAGAGAGGAAAATGCACAGTCCCTTCCATGCCAAGGGTTATCTGTCAGGGAGCATGGGCCTGCCCGGAAGACCCAAGAGGGAAGTGTGGTCTGGAGAAAATGAGGAGAGCTGGGTCCTGGCTTGCCCACTCACAGAACACAGACTCCAGGAGGGTCTGCAGTGTAGCTCTGAGGCTCTGCTCTCTGCTGTCTAAGAGGCTAACTGCACTGTCTCCCAGAAGCACAGTGAGAGCCAAAAGCATGTTAGTGGGAGAGGGTTCAGAGCGTTCCCTGGGTCCCCACTTGCCATCACTGCATGGTTCCTTCCTGCAAAATGGACCATGCAGGCCAGGGAGCCATGAGCCATTAAGGCAGGTCTCAGGGCCCAGCTCACAAGCTGGTGAGAGTGAGCATGAGAGCACAGTAGGGCAGTGCACTCAGGCCTTGGATTGACCCATGTCCTTCTGCAGGCTGCACTCCTAACTTTCCCACTGGGGTTAGACAAAATCTCTGTCCTATGAGCCTCGGCCACCAGGGCTATGGACTGGTTGGAGAGCTACTCTAGAAATTGCTGAAAGGGAGAAGTTACTCATTACTGATATCCAAAGAATTTGCAAGGCAAATATTGAAACTTAGAGAGCATGGAGACTACCTCAATGGCTGGTCTTGTCACAGAGTCTCAGTTGAAGAATTATCTAGCTCCTGTTGGTCTGTGGGCAGATCTGTGGCCGACAGCCCTCCCAGCTAACTGACCCAGCCCACTGTGGGCAGTGCCATCTCTCCCACCTCCCACTGGCTGGTCCTGAGCTGCTTACATATGAAGACAGCTGCCTGAGAAAGCAGTCACTAAGCACGGACACACACGCTTCTCTCTGCTCTTGTCTGTTGGTGTGATGCAGTCAACAGACTGCCTGAGCTTGGATGATCCCCACCCCAGCCTACAGTGTGATGACATTTGAACTGTAAGCCAAGAAAATCCTTTCTTCTCTAGGCTGCTTCTTGTCAGTGTGTGTGTCACCGCTGCAGAAAGAAAACTAGGACAACTCCTGAAATCCCACAGCGATAGATGCAGGAGGAGTGGACCAAGCTCACTAAAGTCCCACAGTGATGCTGGTGGGAGTGGTCCAAACTCATGGGTGATGTAAGCATCAGGGGAAGAAGGAGTGTGTATGGTATTTTATAAAGCCATCAAACTCCAGCAAAGTAACACTAACTCCACCTGTTCCTCTTACCTATCTGTCCTAAATTATATACTGCTGGCAAACCTGGGCCATTCTATACTATTGATAACATTTCAGAGTGATACAACAATTTCAGAATACAATTTATTACATTTTATAAACAAAAAAAATTCTTGCCAAGCATTTCAAGTGTGGAAAAGACTCATGCAACGAAACTGCTTACTGTAAATAATGAAGACTAGAATCAAACTAAGTGTCCAGTTACAATACGTTCTGGAACACCATGAGACACTAAAATCATTCTAAAACACCCGGAAGTCATGCACAATATGAAATGAAGCCACGAGGCCTAAAACCACCACTTAAACAGCTACAGTGTTAAAGAGAAAGAGCCAAGAGCTGGCAAGGATGCAGGACAATTGGAATCAGCTCTGCTGTGCTAGAGAAGGAATGCTGTAGCTACTCTGGACAGCTGGAAGTCCCTACCCAAGTAGCACATGTGACTAGCTGGTGATCCACTGGTATGAAATGCAGGCTCAGGGCTCAGAATCTGTGCTGAAGTCAAAGGATATCATGCAGGACTGGATGTCCACTACAAAGGTGTGAGTGGCTCCTGGGCAGAGAACATTCTGTTTCTGGCTGGAGTGCAGGTTCTCTAAGTGAGCCTGTGAGTGGCAAGCCACTGTGCCATACGCAGGTAGGTTTTGTGCCTCAGTAAGAAGTATACTTGATGCCTTTAATGACAGTACCAGGGACAGCACAGCAAACCCTCTTATCAGTTTTGCACCACCTGATCTCTAGTCACAACAACTTAAAAGAAACAGGACACAGCCTACGAGGGCTGTAACAAGATGGCCGCCAGGGCTGATGTGGTTTCAGGGAACGGTTTTCTGTCTTCCATACTGCCTGTGTTCACATGTTCAAAAAGCTGCACTAAACACTGGCTATGACTTAGTATGTGGATGGAGCTCTTGTCTCTCGACCTGGCTTCACTGTCATCTCAGCATCCCATGCCCTGCCTCGCTACCATTCTCTAAACACAATGGTGAAGATGCAAGTGAGGCCTTCCCTTGAGACAGAAGACATGTACCAGTAACAGCCCTATCTACACCCTGACATCCTGCCCCAGCATGGCCGACAACCCACCCTCTCTCTCCTGTGTCCTCCTCCTGCCTACTCCACCTGCTCATCTGTCTCTGAGGAGGGTGGTTGGTATCATATGTTTTAGGTGTTCTCCAAAGACTGAGATTTGCAGAAAGGGGTATTTACATACTAATTTTGTACTAGTTCATAGGTCAGAGGAACTTTTAGGTCAAAAAAACTTTAGCAGTTACTTCTCATTCTATTTGGGGGCACTTAATTATAATCTCTAATTTAAATCATCAGGTCCCAGAACGCAAGGCAATTTGTTAAGCTAAACTTGGTTTCCCTCATTAATGTAAAATAATTCACTAAGGATTCCTAAATTCCCAGTGTCCCCAATTTTGCTCCCAGTTCTATTTGAAGACAGGAGTTCATCGGGAAGAAGAACTGTACTTTAATCAAGGAGGAGCAAGACTATGGGGAGGGGCTTAAGGAGCTGGAAGAAGCAAGCAGCACCTGATGAGACTGCCTTCTTCCCCACCCTACAGAGGATCCTGTCTCCCTATGACAGGAGAGCAAGGGTCATCACAGAGAGTTCTACACCACCAATACCCTGAAGCCGAGGAGAGGGGGGGCACTGACAAGGGAAGGCAGAAAGGAAGGAAGCATCAGGATGCTCGCCGGGAATGAACGGAACTTAAGAGATGGCAAGACACCTCAGAAGAAAGTGCTAGAGAAAGCCTTGGGAGAGGCCGCCTTCCATTCCTTGCTGAAGCTAAGGAGTCTCAAGTTGACAGAGAGCTCTGCATCTCTTGGAGGCTGTAGGCTGGAGCTGAAGGAGGGGGGTGAGCCACAAGGGCTGTTCTGGTCCATCTTAAGACTGGCATTTTTCTAGAAATAGGCTCATAAAAATGGCGACAGGGAGCACTATTTAGAGAGGTGCATCCTCTCAAAAGTCACATGGAGGTGAAAGATATCTGAAGAAAAAAAAAAGGCCCAAATACAAGTGGGGGCTCTTCTGGCCAGCACAACCCTGTGCTGAACCTGTCTACAAATGGCACCAAGCCTTCCCCACGTCACTTTCTCCACACATAAGGCACTTGAGAGACAGTAGCATGGAAAACGTGAGTCAGAGAGAGCCAGCAGTCCCTGAGGGACAGCCTACAACAGAGGATGGAAAAGGAGGAATTTTCTCTTAAACCCTAAATCCAGGATAACTAAAATCATAGATCACTGTGACGTTATCACTCAAGGACAACAAAAGTTACTAAGAATAATAACAAAGGAGACAAGTGTCCTGCAGCCTGGATGCTGACTCCTGAACAATGTCTTCCTGCCAGTTCTCAACTCTGGAATACTACCTTTCAAGGGAAAACAGTCTGAGTAAGAGTCTAGCATCAGGTGCTCACTTTGGCAGTACATATACTAAAACTGGAACGATACAGAGAAGATTAGCATGGCCCCGGCCCCTGTACAAGGATGACACACAAATTCATGAAGCATTCCATATTTTAAAAAGAGTCCAGCATCAGAAAGATAGTAGCAGGGTGTTGGGAAAGTCCTTCCCTTGGGAGAGTTGTAAATGGCATCTACCCACTTTCTTGTAAGGCTCCAATCAAAGCTCACCCTGTGGGGCCAATGAGCTCACCAGGCGGATTTCTGAGTTCAAGGCCAGCCTGGTCTACAGAGTAAGTTCCAGGACAGCCAGAACTACACAGAGAAACCCTGTCTCGAAAACACCAAAAACCAAAAACCAAATAACAACAACAACAACAACAAAAGAAAGTCTTAACCCAGCATGGATGATGGCTGCCTTGTAGCCATCGGACAGAGGGAGCCACTCTCAGCCTCCAGGAGCCTCCACCTCATCCTCCCAACCCTCTGTGAAATTAGGACAGCACTGCACCCAGATGTCTAGGAGTACTGGCTGGAATCTCAGATGGGTCCCAACCCTCAACATCCCACAGCCAGCAACTGAACTGTGATGATGGCGAACTCTCAAAGTAGGAAGCACTGCTCTCATGCGAATGGCACTGTTTGCTCAGAGGACTGATTTCTACAGCACAAGGTGTAAAACTCTGACTCAGTCCAGCAATGCCACAAAACACTCAGCATGTTTAATGCTTAAAAACTGGGGGGGGGGGCAAGGGGGGTAGTGCACAAGCAAAAACAAAGTGCTAGCAATCAATGTACATCCCTTGTCATCCATGGCACAAACACTTCACCCAAAACATACACACACACACATGCATGCACATACACAGACACACACACGCACACACACACACACACAAACACACACACATTCTCATGGAGTCATTCAGTTATTTACCTCCTGCTTCCCATTTCCTGTTTTCTGCTAATAGCAATAAATAAGTAATGATGGTAATGACTTAACACGATTTAAGTAGCATGCCTTGCAAATGTAATGAATACGGCAACTGATATAATATGGTGTCTGAACCCAGAAGCATATGTGTATACATCCCCTACTCAGGAGATCAGTCACTTCACGGACTGTATTGAAACTCGGTAGCCAACAGATGGTATTACCAGGTGGACCTTTAGAAGACAGGCTCTGTCCTCACAGGAAGGACTGGTGTTCTACAAGCGGGCTAAATGTAACCTTCCACATTTCTGTA